AGCGAGTTACGAGTTGACTATTTCTACAACTGAGCGAGCGAGTTACGAGTAGCGCTAAAATGAGCGAGTTACTCGCTTGCTCACAGCTTTAAAGGTGACTCCAGGCAGGTCACACAACCAATGCCTTGGCCTCTGCTTCGCAATCTGGCAAGTTGTTTTGAGTGCCACAACATGTTCTATGAGAAAAGTCAAAGTAATGGCGACAAATTTTGACAGAGTTGCACCCTGGGGTAGGGCACTTGAAGTAGGCATGGGGCCCTCAAACAATTTGGGCAGTTCTGTGGGTGTAATGGGGTTAAGCACCATAAGAGACAAGGCTCAGAGTGCTGGATCAAGCAAAAAAAACAGCATGACTTGCCAGAATCTATTTCCATAGGAACTCCTGGTAAGCTCTTATCTGGAAAGACAGAAACTTGATGCAGAAATGACATTGCAGACTTGCTGGCTGAAGACATCAATTTAGAGTTTGATTTGATGATTGAAGGTGCCTTCTGTGTCTCCTTGTGGGAGATGGATTGTGATTCAGGTGGAAGAGAGGACTGTGAAGATGGAGGGACAGCATAAGACTGAGGAGAGGTATTGTGAGAGGCTTGGGAGTAAGTTTGATTTTTACTGAGTGAACAGCATCAACGATTCGATTCACCAATTGGCGATTCACCTCGATTTCAATTCAATTTTAATCGATTGTGGCAAATTTTGACAATCAAAAATCCACTGGGAATTGACCGATTTGTTGCGATTGGGATTGGGGAATTGACTGAGTGGGGCTGATTTCGATTCTGGAATTGACCCATCCCAGCACAAAAACCCCGTTTTTTCACCGCAAATACATTGAGATGACTTTAAATCGGAGCTGTGTCCTGCAGGAATGCGAATAGTGAGTTGGGTGAGTGGTGATGGCCCATCGGTTTGAGTGGGAAATCAGTGTCGCATTTTTTACACCCCCCACCCTGGAGAGTGCCCCCACAATGTAATTTACTTCACCCACCCATAAAATCAATGCAAGATGGACCTGTGAAATGATGTAGGATTACCATAATCTCTTGAACAATTGGGAGAAATGTGTATGAAGAATGTTATCAAATCTAGTCTAGGGTTTCCACATGAGTCACATTCAACACATTGGGGATAGACAGTTCTAAGGAATACATACATATCCTCTGGCCACTTCATCCAAAAATTGTGGGGATACATCACAGCTATGTCCATCTCCCTGGTTCCAAAACAGAGTCCAAAACCCAATTTCTTGGTGATGGTGCTATTGCCAGCATGAGAATTTGGTTCAAAGCATTGTGACATGCCTCCAAGTTCACATCATAATGGTGAGGATCATCACTCCTATCCAGTGCATGTCCATCCTTGTCCATCACAAGAACATGCCAGTGGAAGTGGTCCTCATTGACCATGAAAAAATGGTATTCTTGGAGATCCATCCATCCACCAAGCAGTGGGGCCACAAGGATGCTCCATTTCAGAGCTGATAATGGCTGAGCTTTCAGAAATTGCCATGACATGTTGATATCCCTTCAAAAAATCTGGCAAATAACAGCAGCCTGCTGGTCTGACATGGGCATACATGACATTGCCAGATCGAAAACTTTTGCCAGGTATTGTTCCAAGACATCTTTGATGTCAACAACGACTGTACCTGTGCCAGTGTTTATCAGCTCTGAAATGGAGCTTGTGATCCCCTTAGGGGTAGAGCAAATTTGGTAAATTTTGAATATATTTTTACATTACGACTCGAAGGCATCTACTCGGTCCTCGATGGTCTAGTGGCTAGGATTCATCGCTCTCACCGATGAGGCCCGGGTTCAATTCCCGGTCGGGGAAAACTTTTGTCTCCTCTCCGTACTCCCTTTCCCATCTGGGAACAGGAATGATATCTCTATCTATGGCGGAGTGCATCAATCCATCATTGAGTGGACACTATTGGCGCGTTGTTAGGTTTTGGGCAGTTGGTTCAGCCTTCTTTGTCCGCCGCCGTCACTCATGGTAAGCATCGAGGAATCGTGTACACATGACTCCTGGACATATTATGTGCAGATAGGCTTACTACAAGGAGCATTTTGCACACGCTGAGATTGCAGTCCGAGTACTTGCTTCCAAAGAAAGCCGTCAGTAGATTTCTGGTCTCTGGAGAGATTTTTCATGACCCCTGTTGATTTGGGTGGCGTTCTATTACATACATACATGTCCATGTACGCCAAGACAACAGCTGCTTTATATACTGTTTTAGTCAACGTAATTTTTGTTGTCATTACAGGGCATCCAGTCGCCCATTTTGAAATTCCTTCGAACTTTTGTTATGATTGCGTGAAAGAACCCCTGCATTGCCGAATAATTATGTATACTAACAACTTTGAAGTTTCGGATTCGGAATGCAGATAGGTGATTTTGGAGCTGCTGTGAGCACCACGGCACACTGTTAGACTCGGTTCCAATGTCGTGCCCGGAATTTGCATCGCAATATATCGAGGAATGATGCAGAATACAGGCAAACTAGAATGAAGGCAAACATAGCTTGTAGAGAAAGGTCTGCACGACAGGGAGCATTTCACACTCGCTAAGAATTCAGTCCGTGTACATGCTTGGTGATTCCTAGAGAATATTTACATAGAACTTGCTCAGAAGTCCCTAATTTCACAATCAATCAGTACTGTATAAAAAAACAAAGTTGCTAAATGTTGCCCACACTCTCCACTCGAATACCAAAATATGTCAACTTTGATTGCCGTGATTTCAAAGTAATCTGAGGACCAGTTGCCGGGTAGTTGTGTAGCGCGGAGTTATGATTAACAACTCGGGAAGAGCTAGGGAGAACTCGTGTAGCCGAACTTCCAGGAGTTGGCGCGTGGGGAGGGTACGGCGTTGGTCGCTTCTTGGTGAGGTTGGCACCTGGACGAGGAAGGGGTGCATCCAGAGCACCAGGATGAGGTCGACGGTTCTCATTTGTTGCTATGCAGGTTGTAAGGTTGATTCCTTTTGGAGGGCAGGGACAACAATCTCAGATATGAATAATTTGTCAAGTACAAGGCACACTGTCGTCACCATTATTTTCCTCGACATCGTTGTCCAAATAAACGACCATCTCTTCCGAAGAACGCTTGGCGACACTCTCAAAGGGGTTCTCTTTCGTTCTCTTCCAGGCACGCAGATCTTCCTGCTGGTTCGACCGTAAATCTTCAAAGTTTAGAAGGTCTACAGGCATACGCAGATGCTTTGATTCCTCGTGAGGGGGTGGGCTATGTAGAGCCCGGGGTTCACGCAGACCGGTAGTGAGGCGCCGGAGCTGAATTGTTTTGCAGGTTAGTTTCTCTCGCTAGCATTTATGTATCACAGACGCACCTCAAATTCCATTTTTGCCACTTTACGCTTTCTCATCTCAGCTTCATCTCTCAACTTTTTGCCTTCCTCATCCCAAGTTCTCCTCTCATCCTGCAACAGTTTTCTCTCCTTCCGCAAGCGTTCTGCCTCAAGTGTGGCTCTCTCCTCGGCCGCGTGGGCCTTAGCCTCCAGCGCTTTAAACTTTTCTCCCCAAACTCGCCGTTCGGTTTCTCGTTCAGTGTTCCAGACAGCTCGAGCCTCGTCCAGACGGGAGTCAAAGGAGGTTTGAAGCACCATGAGACGGAGTTCGAGGGAAGATGTGTGCGACCGTAGCTCGTTGACGTCAGCTGTGAGAGTTGGACAAACAAGGCAGTTGCCAACTGCGTCATGCTCTTGATGGTGGCCTTCGTCTTCATCAGCGGCAGCGCCCGTAGGAGCAGATGTGACAGGGAGAGATGAAAGAAGGCGTCGAAGGCCGGAGCGTCGGGAGGGATGGTGGGACGACCGTGCTCGAGGTCCGGCGAGGAGGTCGTTTGGCTGCGTCTCTTCGAGACTGGATGAGGTGCCAGTGGTTCCAAGCTCGCTACAATTCTCCGAGTGAGTTGCGCCTAAAGAGTCCGTCGCGATGTCCTCGCTCTCCCCTTCTCCGTCTGCGTCAAGGCAGTTTAGCAGAATTGTCCGTAAGTCCAAGAAGATTCTCCGGCATTCTCCTTTCTTTCGACACATCGGGCATGGTGCAGTCACTTTTCTTTGCGCTCTACACCACGAGCTGAGACATTCCTGGATATCATGGTTGTCATCCACGAGTGCATATAGGTGAGTGAAAAACATGTGGCGACATCACAGAAGAAGAGCGACAAAGCCGTTCCGCGGGAGGTTCGGTAGCAGCTCAAATTCTATGCATTCTCCCTTTTGACCTTCTCCAATCGCGATGTCCCCTAATGCCACAATCCTGTGCTGTTGCTGCCGCCAGGCCCACATCATCATTTACCTCATGAAAAACGTGTCCACAACCACTGGAGCACGCGATCGCTCTTTGCACACTAGAAACATCTTCGGGATCCACAAAAGAAAGCTGACATATGGGGCAATCGGTCATTCTGTTATTCGCGAAGACCGGCTGCGGCCGCCGTTTCCCCATTTGTGCACGTGCCAACAGAAACTGTGAGTTCCTTTATGTCCAGGATTCGCAGGGAAAAGAGTGATATTTCTCACTCTACTGACTCAGAACCACGCCTAGCACACATATCTCAAGGACGCACAACCGAAGTCCGAAATCAGTATGACGTCCAAAATTTTAGTTCTCTTTTCAGTGATAGAGTATATCGGTGCTTCCTGCCGAAATGTGTTCGCAATTTATTTGCAGAAATAGTGGCCTGCCGTGGCCCTCGTCCATGACCAAGCGCATGATTAGAAATACCGATCCACAATCCCATGAACAGGACCCGATGACTGCTGGTGAGAATCCCTGATAAAGTTCAGCTTCGAGGTGCATCGTGTAGCATGCCCCGTTCGTTGGTGATCGAATGCTCCATTCCTCTTTATGTTACAATGTTTCTGAAGCCCGCGTCCAAGAAGCATTATCGGCTGTCTACAGTCCAGGAGTGTCGAATGAAGACAGAAAAGTGGCCCAACAAGTGAGAGCTTCATCCTTTACATTCTCATGTGAACTAGAGAACTCGAAGTACATACACTCTCATTGCATTCCCATCACCTCACTCTTCCGAACATTTTTTTGTCGCTCAAACATCTTGATACTCTATGATGCATCCTGATTTCTGGTGCAGTTTCTTGACTCGTTCAAGATCGCTCCGAACTCTTTACCTATCGCTTTGTACCTCGCACACCCTTTGAGCTCCCCAATCACACCCCCAGAGACTCGACATTTTGCTCTATCGGTTATAGAGGAGTCTATCAGGACCAAATGGGATGGGGAAAAATTCAGTGCGGAAGGAAAAGCTTCCATCCAAACCTTTGCTGAAGAAATCTTGGCGATTGCTGCGAATGGGGATGCAGTTAACTCTTTGCCAGCTTTTTTGAGAGAAAAGGTGGCCAAAGTGATCGTGGAAGTTGCAAAGGCTTCCTGGCCGGATTCCTGGCCCGGATTAAACGGGAAGCTCTTGGGTTATTACGAGCAAAATGTAAGTCAATCCGGACGTATCGAAACCGATTGACTGCTTTTAGAAGTTCGTACTTTCAGACGCCTATTTCGCAAGACCTGACACTTTCTGTGCTGAGAATCCTATGTGAAGACGTGTTTCTTTTCGACGATTCCGCTGCAGCAAGAAGAAAGAAGTTCTTGATCCCACCGATGCAAGCCATCGTCCTCCCTGGCTCTGTCGTTCAAGAGCTCCCGGATTCTGATATAGCAGAGGCGGCGAAGCTCATGGGCATGGGAGCTGGAACTGAGTTCTCCAGTTGGATTGGGCGTATTGGAAACAATGCAGTCCTTTGGGCGCAGAGGTACGAGGCTGCGGCTCAGTCAGGTGGAACACTCCCCTTTGGAGCTACACAGAGAACCGAGGTCTTACCTCCGCAAGAATGTGAAAGAATTGCCGAAGCACATCTTCGAACACTTGCAACTATGGTGGAGTGGGCCCTTGTGAAGGGAATAGCCGAAACAAAGGTGGTTTACCGTTTGCTGGAACTTCTGGCTAGTACGTCTGCAAGGATTAGACTGGTAAGTGGATGGAACAGCAACTCGGGCACGTGTCTTCCTCGTGTCATTTTGCCCGTTTTCCTTTTGAGCACAGGCGGCATCCGACACGCTTCTTCCCATCTTTTCTCGGGGAGCGGGAGCAACACCCGAAGATCCCCTCCGTCTCCTCATCCTTGTCCCGATTTTCTCAGAAGGAGGTCTCGACCTACTGATCCACTCATACGGGAGGACACACGGGTGCTTTTCAGGTAACTTAGAAGAAATTCGTAGCGCGCAGGCTGGTTCTAGATTGCCCGAGGACTCGTACTCTGCGCTTAAGGGAGTCGTGCAGGCCCTTTTGGTATTAGGTGACGAACAGGTTTGCTTCAAAAAGGCAACTTCGTTACCGGCCAACTTTGATAAGTGAGCGAACCATCTGAGTTGGTTGATCTTAAAACATTAATCGACATTGATGTCATCAAAGATTCGTCAAGTTCGCGGCGGTGATAGCGGAACACCCTTCTCTCAATGTTGCGATGACGGCTCTGACATTGTGGAGCTCTATTCTAAAACACGAAACGACCTGCCAGGTGAATTTTGTGAGAAACCACGATGTTACTAGGAAACATCCTTGATGCAGATTTCTGTAGACATTGGAAGTTGCATCTTGCTTATCATCGCTTTTGGAGAACGTCGCTTCTCGCATCTGCTTTTTGGATCATCGATCAGAGTCGCCACCAACTGGTGTTGTAGCTCACTACATCGATATCGACGCTCCCACCACTATTGAAGCCCGTCAACTTGCGGTTAGTTCCCGGTCTCGGTGTATAGACGTCGTGAGGGCTATTTCAGGCATCAAACCGCTCCA